GAGCGTTCTTTCCCTACCCAACCGCAGAGGGATACAGTATCGAAGGGTTCCCGGGGCCAGGTCTCCCAGCGCCAGCCCCCTCCCGTCCCCCGTTACGGTAACTTTTGTATCACCCAGGGACGATCTGTGTGTCTGTAGATACTTTCTTCCGTGGCTGACTTGCACGTTGCTTTTTACAGTATGTCTTGGAGAAGCTCACAGTCCAGCTAGGAAGACAGTCATGCAAATAAATATGCTAAACCACGGAGCAATAGTTCTAATTAGAGAAGCATGTGCTCGGTGAGAGCAAGTTCAGTGAGGAAGAATGTTTTATCCCATCTGGCGCTCAACCTGGAAAAAGTGGAGGGAGGTGACCCAAGAGTTATGGATAATAAATGTCATGATGATTGTGGTTTTTTGTGGAATAAAGTGATTATTAAGTGTGCTCTTGAAATAGGCTGAGAAAAATTATTCTCTAGATTCGCTGAAAAAAAGAAGTCACCTGTTCAGTTCTTTAGCTCTATTAATTATCTATAACAGACTAGAATTATGTGGAATGGTGCTCAAGTGCCTTTATCTCCCTCCCCCAGCCAGGTTGCCTAAGTTAGGCTTTAGATGCCTCAAAAAACAAACAAACAAAAAAGTATAGCTACTGTAACCTAGTAGAGCTACTTTTTTTTATTTGTCCCCAGGAAGGACAACCCACCCTCATCTTCAGACACAAGATGGAAAGACAGAGCAGAGACAGTGATCATCGGAGGCGGCTGCGTGGGTGTGAGCCTGGCTTATCACCTAGCCAAAGCGGGGATGAAGGACGTGGTCCTCCTGGAGAAGTCGGAGCTCACTGCTGGATCTACCTGGCACGCAGTAAGAGAAGCACCTCGCAGGGGCCGTAGCCACTGAATTGTGCACGACTGCGGTCGGCCCCTTCCCACTCCCAACGCCCCCTGGGTGTTGGGCNAGTCGGCCCCTTCCCAACGCCCCCTGGGTGTTGGGCCCACTGCTAGCTCTTCAGAGGGAGTNGGTCGGCCCCTTCCCACTCCCAACGCCCCCTGGGTGTTGGGCCCACTGCTAGCTCTTCAGAGGGAGTTGCCTGTCGAGGGCTAGAAAGCGCAGACCCATTTTGGTTGGCCCACTTCCAGGTGGTGACCAGCGCTGATGATGTCTTAATCTGGAACACGTGGCTTCTGGATTCACATCCCCGCTCTGCCATTTTTTTTACCCATGTGACTTATGGCAAGTTACTTAACCTTCCGATTCCCCTGTGAGAAATGGGAATGTTAATAGGACCTACCTGCTAGGGTTGTGGCGAGGGCTGAATTAATAAGTGTGAAGTTATTGAACACATGGCAAGTGCTCAGTCAATGGTACCTTCTGTATTGAAGAACAGTGGCGGCCGAGACCTTCACCTATATTCTCTCACCTGGCTTTAGCGGTCCTTTCTATTGATTTATTTATGATTTTAATTTGGTGGTGAGACACAGCTTGGCTACGTGAAGACTTCATTATGAGGACTGAGGACGTGTGACACAGCTTTTTTGTTAAATAAAACACGCAGCCAAGTCAGTCTCACGTATTTAACGGTGTATGCGTACTTGTTCCAGGGCTGTACAGTAACTGGGCTAAGTGGAAGGCTGCTCAGGTAAATGAGGTGATTGACACGCTTTTATGCTGTCAAATCAGTTACTCCTGAAGTCAGGAAAGGATGGGAGAGGAGGTTTTTATGACTGTCAGTACAGATTTCTTTTGGAGGAAGAGTTGGGCATTGTTAGCTCAACTTTCAGTCATTAGCTTCCCTTTCAGTCATTAGCACAGATACGGTTTACCCTAAATTTTAAACACAAAAATCAGATTAAAAGACAAAAATTATATTAAAAGACAAAAATCAGTTAATTAAAAATATATAGGATACAAAAAACAACAATATAATTCCATGCCTGGCAAAAAAAAATTAAGTTCAGGACTTACTCCTGCCTGTCCTAGTGGCAAGGAAACTAGAGTAGTATGAGTTCTTCTGTGGAAGTAGGTAGACTATTTCACTACTGTAGACTACTTTTCCTTGACCAGGAATTCCTAGAAGAATTTGGTCCCTAAATAAAGGATATTGGGCTAAATTTTATCAGTAACAGTTTTATAAAAACTAACCCATGTGACTCTTTCAGATGAAAAATCATCAACTGATTCTATGAAAATAGCTCTCTGGGGTGGGAAGAACAGGACTGGTGTAGTGTAGATAGTATATAACTTTCTGGTGGTCCAGCTTAACCTAGGTTAAAACTAGAGTATCTTGAAGAGTGAAAGGTGACCAGAATTCCAGGTCAGTGCTCATGAATATCAGTTTTCTCAAATGATGGGAACTACATGGAAGTCAAATTCTAGTTCTCTAGCAGATACCTGAAGGCCAGGGATTCTCTATTATTGAACTAGAACTGTTCATATGCACAGTAGATAGCAAGCATATAAAAGACAGGAGACTGTTTGAAAGTTAAGGAGCCAGACTTTTAGTTCCATCATAATGGGGTCTGTGCTATGAGAGCACTTATAAGCTAGGCCAGGATTTTTCTCAAAAAAGCAGCTGTACATGTGTCCAAATACTTGAACAAGTACTTGATAGAAGCCCAAAGATTCTGGTCCTAAAGAATGATTGATGAACTTTTAAATGGGGTGTTTTTTAAGTTCAGGAGAACCAAATGCCCACCACTACCACAGAAAAACCTTATAAATAACACTCCTAAACAGATTTTATTTTGAACAGATTGTATTTTGATGAACTTTCCAGGATACATTAGGTGCAGTGTGGGGCCCTAGATACTTAATGGAAAGAACCTGCTTCATATAATTGCTTAGCATTCTTTGTCTGGATACTACGTTGCACCTGAGTTGGTAAAAGGGGTTTTGGCATGCTAATATTTAGGTATTTTTCTCCTGAGAGTAACTGCTCAGTATTTATTTAGCAGATATTTGCGGGGTACAATGTATATGCTCACCAAACAGGTAAAGCTACAACAAAAGCCTGTTCACCCATTCACCAGGATATAATGCCCAGGAATTTTCTGATTCTTGAATTTTGGAGATTTCAGAGGGAACAGGAGGGCTGTACCCTTCAAGGAAATGGTGGGGACTGGGTCAAGGAAAACTCCCTGCTTGTCTACCTTCCCTGTCCTTAAGGGAGCACACGTGGCGTGCTGGTTTGAGTCCACGTTGTATGCCGTCCCCCGTATTCTTCCCCCTCGCATATGTTCCTAAACTTCCTGCCAAATCACCCTGTTTCTGAATCTTCCAACAGTTCAGGTGCAACGTAGTATCCAGACAAACAGTTATTATTTCCTAATAACTTTTAGGGACTTACCGTATCTGTTCAGTGGCTGGCTCTGACGTTACTCATATGGCTCAAACTGTTCTTGCAACTGTGTCACAAGCCCTATGCTCTGGATCTGCTGGAACTGCTGCTGTGTTTTCATCCCGGGGGGCTGGCTGGCGCTGCTCCGTTTCTCGCCAGCAATACATTCCTGCTTAACAGATAAGCTATCGACATTTTCAGACTGTTAATTTTTTTCCCCTCAGCATTTTCTTTTCTCTTCACTTTTAAGGCAGGTCTAACAACTTACTTTCATCCTGGAATCAACTTGAAGAAAATACACTATGACAGCATCAAACTTTACGAGAAACTGGAAGAAGAAACTGGACAGGTAAATGCGTCTAACTTGAAATTGCCTTTGGGTCAGTTTCTTAGAAATATCTGCGATCTCTGAAGATTTTGATAGTGTTGTGCGTGGCTGTGTGTAGTGGCATCAAGGGCACGTGAAATGTTTAATCTGGTGGAGAAGCCTGACCAGAGCTTAAGGAAAGAACCTCTGAAGTTTTCTCTACCATCAGTTTAATTTACTGAAGTGTATTACCCATGTCATTACCCACTCTTCTGGATTTTTTTTGATGAAGGAAGAATAAAAGGCAGCAGCTTTCAGAATTATTTTAGTCAGTTACTATATCTAGAAGCTAAGAAATTAGGGCCTTTCGGCAGCCAGATTGCACAGGATCCGACAGCGGTGTGTGGCTTACTGTCACACAGCTTCGAACAGCGCTTCGCTAAAAGCCCCTTTCTTTTATTTTTATCTCTTCTCATAATTATTAGTAATCTCAAAATAAAGTGGCAGGCTTAGAATATCCACAGGCTAAGACGAAGCCTACTTAAAATGTTCATGCCGTTTCTCTTGCCTGAAGCCATCGAACGGCTCCCCACGGTCCGCAGGACAAAGGACGCAGGAGACCTGCAGTGGCCGAGCTCGGCCTGCCTTCCCATCATTTCCTCTTGCGACGCTCAGAGGCTTCAGCTCTCCTTAATTACTTACAGTTCTGGAATGTGCTGGGCGCTCTGCCTGAAACAACATTCCTCTGGCTCCCATTTCAGCTTTCCTGGGAGTCATCCCCTCTGAGAAGCTGGCCTTGACTGCGCCCACCCACCAGTCGGGCTGGGCTGAGGACACATCGCCTGGTTCTAAGAATACCTGTGCTCACCCCTCTTATAACACCCATCTCTATGGTGGTGGTTGCCTTACTGATTGGTCTTCCCTCCAGACCATGGGCAACTCGAGGGCAAAGATTGCATCTTTCATCTCTGTAACCCAAGGCCAAGCCGAGTGCTTGGCCAACTGAAGGGCTTCGGTAGATGTCAAATGGGTGTTTATTCCAGTTTACACTTAATCTCAGCACTGCAACATTCTGCTGCTTCGCACTCCTTCCTCAAATCCCTTGTCTTTCTCTTTGCCACGTAATTTTCTTTCACTCTGTACGTTGACACTGTCTCATGTTATTGCATCATGCAACTAGCTGTCCGCCTTCACCTGCGGACTGTACGCTCCACCCAAGCAGGGTCTTTGCCTCTCTTGTTTATAACAGCACCTTTGGGGCTTAGCATAGCGCCTGGCACAGGGCACACACTTAGTCGATAGGTGCTGAATGAATGTGTCTTTGTAAGATGCAAATATGCCTATATAGTTATCTCTTTCACTGCATAGGAAATCTCTTTTCTTGCACGCCTGCATTTTCACTGTGCTGGAGAAGAATCATGTTTCAGTGCCAAATAATGATTTATTTGTGTGTGTGTTTTTATTGGAATTATTATAACAGGTGGTGGGATTCCATCAGCCCGGTAGCATCAGAATTGCAACAACTCCTGTAAGGGTAGATGAATTTAAATATCAAATGACTCGGACTCACTGGCATGCAACAGAACAGTATATTATTGGGCCTGAAAAAATTCAAGAGATGTTCCCTTTACTCAACATGAACAAGGTACTTATCTTAAGGGCATTTTCAGTATTTGTTGACTTGAATTAAGATTAGAAAAGGTTGTTTTAAGATGTTAATTTAAAATAGAAAACTTTGTGCACACATTTTAAATGGCAAAATCGGATGATAAATGTTGGAACTTGGGTAAATTATAAGGTGAGCTATTGTGTATACTAAATGAAATATGAAAAGGTAATGAAAAAAAATCTTATCAGTTTTCCACCTATGACAACCGAGGCAACATTTTCAATACCTTTTTTTATTTTTAAGAATTTTATTGATTGTTAGAGAGAAAAGGGAGAGAGAAAGAGAAACACTGATGTGAGAGGGGAAACATCGATCGGCTGCCTCCTGCACACCTCCCACCAGGCATCGAGTCCGCAACCCGGGCATGTGTCCCGACCAGGGATCGAACCGCCATCTCCTGGATCCTAGGTCGATGCTCAACCGCTGAGCCACGCCTGGCCGGGCAGACTCTTATTCTAAATGGCAGCTAGAGCTCCAGCCGTCGTGTCTGCTTTCCAGACAGCAGGTGGAGGGAAGGACATGAGGAAGGGAGACAAAGGGCATGTGCCAGTTGTCCTTTGATAATGGCCTTTGGAAGCTGCCACGTGACACTTCCATGGGCATTGCATTTATCATAACTTAGTAGTAGTTATGGAACTAATAGCTGCCAACTGTTAGAATCTCTGTTCTTAGTGAGCATGTGTCTAAATAAAATTCCATTTGTCTTTCTATGGGGGGGGGAGTGGCTACTGGAGACAATCGCAAGGTCTCGCAGGCAGCCTGTCTGCTTAACTCCCAGTGTGAGTCCTGCCTAAGCCCGAGCCCTGATACAGGACAAACACTGACCAACCTGGTGTCCTGATGCATTTTTTCAAGCACAGTTTTATTAAGCATTTGCTGGCAGGGTATAGTTACACTAAACAAGGAGCTACTCATTTGATTATTGATTTTTTATGAATCGGTTTAGATTTTAGCTGGACTGTATAATCCTGGAGATGGTCACATCGATCCTTACTCTCTAACGATGGCCCTGGCTGCTGGGGCTAGGAAATACGGTGCCCTTTTGAAATACCCCGCACCGGTGACTTCTCTGAAACCCAGGGCAGATGGGGCGTGGGATGTTGAAACACCACAGGGATCTGTGAGAGCAAATAGAGTTGTGAATGCTGCAGGTAAGTGTCATATCTTCTTTTGTTTTATTAGTGAGGTTTTTTTTCAAGTGGCAAAGAAGTAAGATAGTATGCCATAAAGTAATGTTTTACACTGTGAACATTTTTATTAAATACTGTGATGCTCCCAAGGTGAACATTTTGTCTGTTTCTAAGCTACAAAGCCCTCCCTCCATCACCGTCCTTGGTTATCTATAGAAACGTGGCATGCTTCTCCGTGCTCCATATTTTGTGCTCCAGATCATGTTTTGCCGAATTATGTTTCTTTTTCCTTCCTTTTGTTCGCTCTTTCTTTATACTAATAACCAAATCCTACTGTTCAAATTCATGAGCATCTTCTTTGTCCTCAATTTGCTCCTTTAGGGCAATATTGGCCATTTGTGTTCCCTCCCATCCACTCCTGATTGCGGGACTCTAGTCAAAAAAGTTTTAACCCCTTTCCTCTCAGAACATTATTAACATACTTCATAATTTTTCTTTAGGTTGCTCTGCTACAGTTTAGACTCAGAGTGAAGCCAAAAGGAATATTTGAGACAATCTAACAACCTACTCACCCATTTTCCATGTATGGAGACCAAGGTCCAAAAGGTCATCCCACTTGGGCAAGTGACAGTTGTGTCAGAGCCAGGATTTGGACCTGGGTCTTTTGATTCTTGAGTTAACACACTTTCTAACAGGCCATTTGCCTGTGAAGACATTTCCAGCTATCACAGATACAAATATAAATTTTTGTGCAAATGAAAATGCTTATGCAGTCCTACTCGGGCTAATACTTTATAGTTACCTATGGTTCATAATGGTTAACTTAAAACCTAAAATAAGCATGAGGCAGTAACTGATTTTCTTGTGGTCTGCTCTCCGAGTCAGGGTTTAAATTACACAATGAAAACAACCTTTATTACAGCTCAAGTGATATGCCTTGTGGACACTGGATAAACATGGACCCTTAAGATTTTTTCCTCTAAACCGTAACTTTGATTGATGTTTTGTTTTGTTTTTTTAACAAAACACAGCGGTTCTAGAAGTCATGTATTCAGTATTTAAGAGTTTAAATCTGATTCCTGAATCTTTCTAACATATGTCCCCGTTTGAAAAGCATAAAAATCTCATGCCTTCTTTGATATCATTTGAAATACAAAACATGGTTATGTAAAATAACTTGCCTAAAATATAAAAGCAAAGGCATAAAATATTGCTTTCTGTTCTAAATCCCCTTGCCCCCCCCCAGTCCCCATGTGATACCCCTATCCCTCAGCACCCTTGGGCACCACTGGCTTAAATCCTGCTGGAATACTCAGGGCAATGAAATCATTCACCCTTTTTTCCCAAGTAGCAAGGATTCTTTGTAATCTTGTAACATTCTTTATGGTCTCATGAATTCAGCCCCTAAAACATTTTACTGTTTTCCTAGGGATAGCAGATCCTGAACAAACATGCCCTGGCTTCCAGGTCAGCACCGTGGCCGACGTGGCTAACTGACGCCTGCGCTCCTCTCAGACGGGCTCCGACCAACCCCACCCCTTTCCCAACACAGTGCTTCAGGCAGCCACACACTCCCCACTGATATTTTGAGAAATAACATAGAAGACCTTAATTTAACACATTTCTCTATTGTTTTCCTAAAATGGATAACATTTTTTAGAAGATGTAAAGGCCACTATTATCTACTCAATTGTATGACAGATAACCTGCTAGAAGTTTCTTTTCGTGGAGCTATCCCAGAAGGCTGTTGAGTCTTTAGGATACCTGTGGAAAGGAAAGTCTAAAAGTAAAAAATATGTCCACTTGCTGATGTGTCTCTGGCACTGTCCAGGCAGCAGGCTTTCTCGACCAGACACAATGTGTTTGTAAAATAGAGATAATAGTGTCTGTCTCAAAAACTTATGATCAGTAAATGAGCTGATAATGTAAAGTACTCAAAACAGGGTTTACCGCATAGAAAACACTAAAAAATTAAGTATAATAATGATAGTAATTATTATGATTATTACAATTATTTCCCTGAAAGTCTGTGCCCCTGTCTGGGAGACACTAGCATCAGGGTACCCTGGCTTCTTGGCTCTAGCCTTAAGATTACCCAAATCCTTTTACTTACTCTAGAGTCAACCAGCACCCATCCTGCTGGTAAATTGACTCCCTCAAAAACTTGGTTCCCAGATTTCAAAAATATTCTAATTCAGGTGGTCTTGGTGGGAAGCTGTATTTTAAATGAGTACTCCAGGTACTGTATTGTCTATACCAGATGGTCTGCAAAATATGTTTTGAGGAACAAACACTATTATATGGGTGTTCCTACAGCAGAGACAATGCAGTAACCTCATTCTTTTTTTAAAAAAATGTATCTTTATTGATTTCAGAGAGAGGAAAGGAGAGGGAGAGAGAGAGAGACAGAAACATCAATGTTGAGAGAGTCATTGATCGAGCCCGCAACCCGGGCATGTGCCCTGACCGGGAATCGAACCCCGATCGCCTGGATCCCAGGTCTACGCTCAACCGCAGAGCCACACCCGGCCGGGCAGTAACCTCATCTTAAGAAAGCAGAGCTGACGAACAGTTTCCGCCAGGCCTGGTCTCTTGGTGTGCAGTGGGCTAGCTCACGCCTGTCTCTTGGTGTGCAGTAGGCGAGCTCACGCCTGGTCTCTTGGTGTGCAGTGGGCTAGCTCACGCCTGTCTCTTGGTGTGCAGTGGGCTAGCTCGCCTTCAGTATTGCTTTAAAACAGCTTCATCCCTCCTTCATTTTATCCCTCCCGTCAGGGAGCTGCTGTGTATTGGGATGCAAGCTTTTTCTTTGCATAGCAATGAACGTTTCTCTTGACCTCATTTCCAATTTCCTCATTAAGCCTGACATAACTATGTAAACTTTACTTAAGAATAGTCCTGATATGATAAATCAGAAATGTGATTGGATCATGCCAACATGAAGCCCAGTGTTCAGCCAAAAAGAATTGCTTAATTTTGCCTAATATTCTGCGTCAATGAACGTCACTATATCCAGGGGTGGGGAATGTTTGTTCTCTGCCAAGGGCCATTTGGATATTTATAACATCATTCATGGGCCATACAAAATTATCAACTTAAAATTTAGCTATGAAAAAGCTCATAGATTTGTTGAATTTTGAGTTGCACCTGAGGTTGTCTTGGCAGGGCCAGAACAAATGATTTCGCGGGCTGTACATGGCCCACGGGCCAGACGTTCCCCAACCCTGGTTTATCTATAAACCATCATTGCCGCTGTATAAACCCTGGTACCAGTTACCTTGTCCACAAACCTGTACCCTTCATTTTATCTCTGTTTCTGTTAATCACTGAGGTTTTTTTTTTAATGGAAGCCATTTCCAGTGATCATTTTTATTGACTCTTCCCTTCAATGGCATATTTTTTAGATGATTCCTCCATGTTTGTCTCTTCCCTTTGCACTTGGGTGGGTGCATCCAGCAGGGGGTGAAGTGTAACCCTGGCTAGATTTTGTTACCACGATTGACATGTAGAGGAGAGAATGCCAACAAACACCACCATGGGTAAAACAGCACAGAGTTTTCCATGGGGGTTCAAGTAATATAGTTATATGACACTTAAGCATACATTTCCACTTTATTTTAATGATGAAGTGCATTAATAAGTAAGCAACTAGACTCAGAAATTTATAAATATGTTCGAATAGGAAAGAATTTATTTTATTCAATTTATGTTTTTAATTGAAACAAATATATTGAGGATATTTCAGTGCTTTGAATTGCTAGGCTAAATATTTGGGCTTTTTATGTTTTAAAACTCCTCTAATGCATATAACTAGAATATGTGGATTTACTATCTTTTCCTACAAAATCCTGACATTGGTAATTCATATCGTACTACGAGCACAAATAAATTAAGTCTCTAAATTATTAAAAGACCAACAAATAGCTTCAGTGCCCACAGGTAAGATTTTTGGTTTGCAAATAGACACCCATTTCTGGGGCTATTATTACAAGTGTGACCAACTTAGTCGTTAGGCAGAACATAACGACAGAACACAAGAGTGATGTTTAGATGGTTAAATAGAAATAAACTATGGCCCGGCTGGTGTGGCTCAGCGGTTAAGTGTCCACCCAGGAACCGCCAGTTCGATTCCTAGTCAGGGCACATGCCCGGGTTGCAGGCTTGATCCCCAGTAGGGGGCGCGCAGGAGGCAGCCGACCGATGATGTTTCTCATCGATGTCTCTATCTCTCTCTCTCCTTCTCCCTTTCTCTCTCTAAAAATCAATAAAAACATATTTTTAAAAAAAAGAAAGAAACTTTGGCACGTAAGAGTACATAATCTGGGTTCCCAGACTGACTCATAGTCGACGATCCTGTGTCTAGCTCTGAACTTCATAGTGACTGAGACTTCAGAACTCCATATTAGATTCTGGAAAAAGCAGAATAGAAATGGTTAAAAATTTAGAGAATGAAACCCCTAAAGAAGTAACTTAAATAAGATTCCCTAGTCATTGGAACGATTACTCAAAATTATGAAACAAACAAGTGCATAGGGCCCCTTCCCCCCAAATAATCCATTGGTGGGTGAGGCAACACCATATCCCTGATGAATAATCATTTCTATCATTTTAGATTCTAAAATATCTTTCTACAAGTGAAGGAGTCTTGGATTTTTAAAATAAAGTCTTTCTGTAGCAAGAAAAGCAGTAAGATGTGATGACTCCGGGTGCCCCCGTGACCTTGGCAGGCCTGTTTCCCTCTCTGCACTTCAGCTCTGCATCTGTATACTGAGGACAGCCAAGGCTCCTTTCATCCACGGATTATCTGGTTCCATCTTTAGCAAAGGAAAACAAACTCACATTTGTCCCCACCAATAAGACAGTCCCCATGCGCACTGTGAAGCGAGAAACATTGGTGGCGGGAGCCCCGCTCTTCGTGAGGCCTCTGCCTGGGGCTGTGGCACCTCTTCCCCTGACCTGACTCCTGGTGCCTTCCTGCCCTTTGCAAGGAAGGGTCTTACAGACATACGCAAATTAAGCTTTTAAAACAACAGAGAAAACTTAATGTGTTATCTCTCTCCCCGAGCACATACACTTTCAAATTTTAAGTGAACAGAGCAATTCTGCATTTGTGGACTTTTAGGCATCCAGGGTTTGGGGAAAGGAGGGCCTGGGGAGCGGAGGGGACCGACTTGCAGGCTCTGTGATGTTTTATGCTGATCACATCCCCACGGGGCCTCTTCCATCCGAATCATCCGTGTTCTACAAGTTCGGTCAGTTCATTACTGTCCTTACAACATGGGTACATTTTGTATATTTGGATTGTTTACTTTTTCCTTCAAATCTGTTTTTGTGTGTTTTCTCTGCCTGCCTTTGCTTACGGGAACAGTGCTTTTTCAGGAACGGAGTTCCCTGGGATTACGGAAGTATGCGGAGAGCTCTGGGCAGCGGACAGTGCTCTATTGCCTTCTCTTCTGCCGTTCAGCTCTTCAGTGACAAGGGAAGAGTCCTTATGACACCCTTTGCCATGGGCGCTGGAGTCTTCTAACTGCTTTATGCTAATATAAGTTGCTGTTATCAGTGTCGGATGGGGTGTGTTTATGTCTGTGGTGACATTTTCAAATGACTTTCTATTTAAGGATTTTGGGCCCGTGAAGTGGGTAAGATGGTGGGACTGGAACACCCTCTCCTTCCCGTCCAGCATCAGTACGTCGTTACTTCCACCATCCCTGAAGTGAAGGCTTTGGAGCGAGAGCTCCCTGTGCTCCGTGACCTGGAGGGCTCGTACTACCTCCGACAGGAACGGGACGGGCTCTTGTTTGGTCCGTATGAGAGTCAGGAGAAAATGAAGGTTCAGGACTCATGGGTCACCAGTGGCGTCCCTCCAGGTAAGTCTAGCAAATGGAAGCGTGTGCGTGTCAGACATGTCTGTCGTATCCCCCCTGCGATGCACTGGACACCTGGGATATTGGAGGTTAGGGTTCGAGGTAACCCCTGGTCTCTTATCCCTGTGAATAATCGCAGCAGGGAGTGAGGAAAGAGAGGAGAGGCGGTGGGCGGTGGGGAGGCTGAAGAAGGCCGCCCCCACTGCCTTAGAAGGCTCGAGGGGACGTTGACCAGCCCCCACACTTTCCTCGCTGCCCCTCCTGCTGGCCCTGGTTTCCAGATTTGGACATGGGTGCTATTGTGTCTGGACCGTTGGAAACCTGACTGGCATCAGAAACAGGATATCCAGCCTGCTGAGAAGGAAAGCCTTGGCGTCTGTCACAGAGCAGGATAGGTTAGGGACACACACACACACACACACATACACACACACACACACACACACACACACACACACACACACACGCCTGCCTACCACATAAGTGGATGTGGAAAAGGCCCAGGCCTCTGTGCTAAAGCAGGAGGTACTATCGTTTCTCCTTGAAGTTCTGCAAGGGAAAAAGACCTGTTTTGGTTTTTTATGAAACATTTTACAGCACTGGGTTAAAGTTTGGGTCAACTAAGGAGGTAGCTCAGGTTTTAATCTATAAAAGGAGCTAACATGTCACTGGGACACTGAATTACTATAAGGGATATAAAGAAATGGAGGGATTTACACTTTCCAGAATTATACTTTGATGAGCTACCTGAGGTAGGGACTGAATCCCTCCCTCCTATTCCCCAAAGACACCTATGCCCATGTCACAGGGGATCACCAAACCACCTGCAACAGAAGCCGGACCAGTTATCTGAGGGCTTCAGTTTTGCTGAGTGGGCTGTGCACATTTGGGCCTGAGCAGAATAGCTCCTGAGCCCAGAGGAAGGGCTGATCTGCCACCCCAGAGCCTCCCTCTTGGCTCTGCCCCATGGTGGCAGCCTCTCCTCCAAATAAATGTTGAACAAATATTTAAATAATTGCAGTTGGAAGGAGACCCAGACTGTTGGTTGGCCCTGAGCGCCCACATGTCCTGGTCCAATCCTGCTGATCTGCAGGTCTCCATGCCACTGACCCAACATGCAGTCCCTGGAGGAACAAGGAGAAGCTGGCTGGCTGCTGGGCGGGAGAATCATCAGTATTGGCGGACACGTTCTTTTAGGTCATCTGTGGCCCTGCCATCAATCGCAGTGCCCTTTAGCACTGAGAAGATGACTGTACTCCAAGGCTCTGACTCTTTTCTCAGAACTCTGGCCCTCGCATATGTCTGGGAGCGGGCTCACGGAGGAAGCCTCCATGTGGGGTCAGAATCCATCATCTGAGATCCTAGAGTAGTTTTCTGTTTAGCCCCAATGTCCTGACATGACTTAGTAAACTCCCACTTGCCCTCACCTGGGCAGATGGAGCAGATTTTATGGTTATTTGAAGGGTAAAAGATCTCTCTTAGAAACCAAATAGGAGTTGTTTGTTTTGTTTTTTGATTGTCACTGGATTAAATACTGAAAACTGTTAACATGTATACATTTAAATATTATTATAAAATGTTAGCTTTCATGATTTTGTTTCAAGAAATAACATTATTGGAGTTTGGAACAGCTGGCCTGAGGAGTAGGCTGAGAAGTTGGTAATCTTAATTTAAGATCCGCCTAGAATACTGACTACTAAAACACATTTTTCTGAATCATATGTGCATTTATGTGAATCTGAATAATGTCTGAATTTCTACCCTTTTTAACTGTTGCCTCCTCGAGCCTCTCTTAGATTTTGATGCAAATGCTTGTGAAAGGGAAACTATCATGGGTAATTAGACATTTATTCTTTCACCTAACAAAGACTCATTGAGCATTTACTATGTGCCAGGCAGCGTTCTAATTACCTGTTACGCAGCAGCCTAAAAAATAAAATTTCAACCTTCATGGAGTTTATTATATAATAGGGTATAACAGAAAATAAACAAGAATATTTTTAAGTAAATTAAATAGCATATTAGAAGGAAATAAGTACTATAGGGGGAAAAAGACCAAAAAAAATGTATAGATCATAAAATTAAAAGAAAAGAAAAAAACAAACAAACATGATTGTTCTCAATGCTATAGTGAGTACCCATCTGTCCATAGTGAATATCAAGTTTAGATGTAAAAATGAAAAGAGGAAGCGCCTTCCTCACAGGCCGCGTGGAAGTGTACGCAGATTCGGGGACTTGAGCCACTTGAGAGAACTTGCCCACACAGCCGGGCGTCCTGATCCCATCCGCACGTCCTTTCAGGGTTTGGAAAGGAGCTCTTTGAGTCCGACCTGGACCGGATCATGGAGCATGTCGAAGCTGCCATGGAAATGGTCCCGGTCTTGAAGAAGGCGGACATCATCAATATCGTCAATGGCCCTATCACGTATTCTCCTGACATCCTGCCTATGGTGGGTCCCCATCAGGGGCTCAGAAACTACTGGGTGGCCATAGGCTTTGGGTGAGTATCTCCATGTAATTCAACATTAATTATAGAGTCATGTAGTTTAGGTAAATCTTGTCCCATAATCTCAGGCCAAAGTTGGAAAGTGGGAAAGGGACAGAGAGTTGTTCCCTTTTATGACCAATGAAATGGGAGTAACAAAAACTTTAGGCTTAAAATTCTGCCTATATAATGCTTTAATCACTTGTAGAGGTTTTAAAGATTTGCACACAGAAGGGAAGTGATTTCCTGGAACTTTCTCTTTGCGTATTTCTTGTCATTTCCATTATTTTTCTCTTTTCATGCTGTGTATGTTCAGATAGGTCAGTTTGCCCCAATTTTATTCTATTTTATTTTATATTTTATTTTTTCCCTCCCTTCCTCCCCCCCCCCATTTGCCCCAGTTTTACAAGGATGTTTTCATAACACAAGGTGACAAAAATAACTCAAAAAATGAAATGTATGACATATCTGATGCTATGTTCACCATAGTTCATGTTTGTCCAACATGATTTGTTTTTTATGATTGCTCAGGTTCATATTTCATTTCTAATATTTGTGCCATTAATTGGGTGAATATTAATGCCAAACTCCATTTACTATCATATCACAACTTCCAATATTCTATTCTTCTTCCCCATTTTATTTGGCCATTTATTCAACTAATATTTAATGGTTGCCAGCTCGTGCTAGGTCCTGGGCTTCAGCTGAGGACAAGGCACTGGGGCCTGACCAGAGGTGCAAGGCTGGTTGGGCTGCTCTTCTGCCAACAGTAGAGAGGCTGGGGTCTGAACTAAGGAAGCAGCAGTGAGGACTGAGAGAGAGAAGGTAAAAGTACTTATCGTGGGTGATTAATTGCATTAGGTCCTGAGGGAGAGACAAAAATAGCAGATGGTGGCAACCTTTCTAACCTGACCACTGGTTGGATGCTGGGGACCATGGGGAGAGACCCGGGAAAATAATGAGTCACTTTTGACACATTGGGTTTGAAGTGTCCAGTCGAGGCCTGTGGGGCATCCAGAGGGAGGAAGCCAGGCGGAGGCTCGGGGCTGGAAGGCGTAAGGTAAGCGAGGGCTTGGGCAGCCGCCCACGGCGCCCACGTGCAGGCGTGTGCATGTGGAAGTGGCTCTCCTGCGCATTACTTGTATGTCTTCCTTGGAGAAATGTCTATTTATATATTTTTGCCTATTTAAAAAATTGGATTAGTTTTTTTGTGTTTCTGTCATTAAGTTGTAGGAGTTCTTTATATATTCCAGGTACAAGACCCTCATCAGATAGGTGATCTGTGAAATTTTTCTCCGGTTCTGTGGGTTCTTTCACTCCCTTGATGGTGTCCACTGAAGCACAAAGTTTTTAATTTTGGTGAAGTCCAGGATGCGTAATTTATTTTTCAGTTAAGTTTATTGGAGTAACATTGGTTCATAGCATTATGTAAATTTCAGACGTACAATTCTGTAACGTGCCCTCATGTACTCTACCGTGTGCTCGCCTCCGACGCCTAGCCTCTTCCCATCGCCATCTATTCGGCCCCTTCCCCTCTGACCCCTCCCTACCTCCCTCCCCCCCGTCTGTGTCTATGAGTCTGTGTTTTGTTTGTTTGTCTGTTTGTTGCTTTTTGTCTTATATCCCATATATGAGTGAAATCACATGGTTCTTACCTGGAGGGTCCTCAGGAAATTAAGAATAGAGCTACCTTATGACACAGCCATCCTGCCTCTGGGCATGTACCTGAAAAATTTGAAGACACTTATTTGTAAAGATATATACACACCCCTATGTTCACTGCAGCATCATCCCCGATCGCTAAGACATTTCGTACGTAACCTGGTGGCATGCCCCCGCGGGCTGCCCCTCCCGCTGGCCTCAGTGACCCATTCCACGGTCTGAAGGCCGATGGCGCCTGTGCCTGGCTGAGCACCACATCGCCTCGAGGGAACATTTGAAAACGGGACCCAGCTTTACGGCTGGTCACTTGCATGGGTCTCGTTCTCCTTTCTGTGTCATCTATGAAATTCCTGTTGTCGGTCCCTAGGCCCCGTGAACGATGCGGCGAATTGGAAAGCTAGCAAGCAGATTCCCAGCGCCGCTCCTATAGATCCTGGTTTGTTAGCCAGAGAGGGGCCCGGGGATCTTCTGTTGTTCTGGTGCAGCCAGTCCCCAGAGCAGGGATTTGTAAACTGTCTACATGTATGCCAGTGCTCATTAACCTTACAGATTACTCTCGGACAGAGCTGTTTTACTTTTATCACAGTCTGATGAGTTTTTCTGCTTCTGGGCAACTAACACAGTGCCCCCCAAATGTGTAATGAAATGCATTCAATTGAATCTAGTTTTCTTGGCTTAGAACAGATTAAAAGCCGCAAGTTTAGAAAGGGGAGGGTGCTTTAAAGATGTACCACCTGACAATTTAACAGAGTTATCGTCAAGAAGCAGTCACGGACACTCAGACACAAAGCAGCGGGGCCTTTGGGAAGCAATGGGTTCTGCAGGTTCATGCTGGAGATGGAAGAAGAACCTGACTCTCCCCATCAGGTTCCCTTCCACTTCCCTCGACACATTACTCCCTTATGAACATCTTACCAGCTGGGCACAGCCACCCCCTGCTGTTAGTTATACAGGGCCCAACGGCCACCCTGTATCACTTGCCTACTGGGCGCTTTCAAATGCCATGTCCATTAATTCTTCATCAACACAGCAAAGACAATGGGCTCATAAAGAATATGAGAAGACTAAAGCTCAGGGTGGTTGCACAGCCCGCCCAAGGTCACACAGCTGGTAGGCAGAACAAATCGTACCCAGGCCTCCTTGTTCTGTGCTTTTACTGCTAAATCAGGGGCTCTCAATAGAAGTTTCATAGCACTCAGTTGTGTGGCATTTTGCATATAAGTTGATAATAGTTAGAGAGTGGAAGTTCGTAAAAGATTGATATTTTTAAAAGAAATTAGATTTCATTCAGGATTATCCCCAAATACTGGCACCCTGCCCCATTTGTTTGCTCATGGGCATTGCTGAAAGGGAAAGAACATGATGTTGTAGCCATGAGAGTGGAGGAAACCAAAGTACAGCCCTGGCTGTGCTCAAGGAGTCTGCCAAGGATGTGAATCTGTCACGTGTGTCTTGGCTGAGAGAAGATTTAGAACATTGGAGAAGTCAAGCCCAATAACAGAGAGTGTACACTGGGGTCAGACTACTGAATTTTTATACTGAACCTGGTCTTTATTGCTGTGTGGAAAATGGTAAGCACTTTCAATAAATGTCAGTAAACGTTTATACAGTTTCGAGTTTTATAAACAGTATCTCTAGCTCTCAGAAATGGCAACTATTGTATTTCATACATTGGGCCTGGGTAAGTGAATAAACATTGTGAGCATATATTTCATAATTATTTTAAGCACATATTTAATAATTTTTCTTGAAACTTAGTGAGATTGTTTGTGGATAATTTGTATGACCCGTGTTTCTTCTTTACACTATCAAGAGAACTATCCACTGCTGCCTTTTTATTCTGCTTGAGAAATAGCCTTATAACAAATTTAGGCACTCGCTTTTATCAAATAGCAAAACTGGTAAAAGTTAGTTAACATTGCGAGTCTTGGCGAAGGTCGTCCCACGCACTTGGAACATGTGATTCTGGCTGTTCAGTTGCTGTGATTCAGGGTACTGGGACTTCTTGCATTTAGAGGTCTGTGTCTGCAGCTCCCTTTTGTGGTCATCTCCCCACAACTCCCTGCTCATCCAATTCCTCAGAAGCCTCTCGCAACTTAAACACAGATGAACCCATGATAAAGTCCTTCATTAGACGAGGCTGAGGGCAGAACGGCACACAGCCAACGTTACATTATGACCCCTCCACCTGTATCACATTATTTGCTGCAATCATGACCTTGGTTTTAAAGCATCTTCATATGGAAATAGAAAACAAGCCCATCTTCTATGCCAAGTGACCCACTAGTTACAAAATACAGGGGCCAGTGTTCCTTCTGCCTTCTCCCCACAAGTCCCATAGTGAGTGCCTCTTGTCTGAATGCTTCTAAGATAAGGGCCCAAGATCCCTGCACAGAACTAACTTAGTCCGAGAAGAGATGAGCAGACCACTCCACAGTGCACATGTCTCTGCAAATTTCCTATCAGGATAATCACGGCTCAAGGCTGGTAAGGTGTCAACGGCCTCTGCCTGTTGCTCCCTGCACCTCATTTTCCTAAAGTGAGCATCCTTCCTAGCTAAGAGCTGTGGGCATGCATCTCTTGAAACTGGAAACAAACTAGCTATAAAGTCAGGCACATTTAGTTTGGATGCCTAAATATGTTTTCTTTTTGAGAAAAAAGAATGTTAGCATAAAGATTATGTAGACTGTGTGTTCTGAATGGCACAGAACACCCCAATTTTAAGGCCCTGTAAAATATTTGGACATATTTTGTTGTTCGAAAATAACATATGTTGTAACAGCGTATTTATCTCTGTATTTGAAAGATACGGCATAATCCACGCTGGCGGGGTAGGGAAATACCTCAGTGACTGGATCCTGCACGGAGAGCCTCCTTTTGACCTGATAGAATTGGATCCCAATCGCTATGGGAAATGGACGACCACTCAGTACACTGAGGCCAAAGCCAGGGAGTCATACGGATTCAACAATATTGGTAAAGTGCAAATTTACTGTTGTGTACAGAGCGTGCACAAAATGGACCTGCAGCGCCGCTGACTCCACGTGCTTTTCATTCGGTGCACTTTGGTGGGAGGGGGGAGGGATTCTAGAAAACCTAGTGCGTCTAAGACGCAACAAGAAATCTGTAGGCATGTATATATTTCATGTGTGGCGTGCGTCAGCGATTTTCAGTTTTAAATTCATTTTTACTTTACCGTTCGACTAGTATAAAAACGACAGCTTTGAGGGATGTTTCTTTACGTCCGTTTGATATAGGGTATGCCTCTGGGTTTTTAGCACGCTTCTCCGTTTCGTGAAGCCCTTCAAAGCGTTTGATAGCTTCCGTTACCTGCTGCGTAAGAACTGGGTTTCCTTTTCCAGTTGGGTACCCCAAAGAAGAGCGGTTTGCCGGGAGGCCGACTCAGCGAGTCAGTGGGCTTTACAAGACCCTGGAGTCGAAATGTTCCATGGGCTTCCACGCGGGCTGGGAGCAGCCGCACTGGTTCCACAGGCCCGGCCAGGACCCGGGCTACAGGTGAGCGGCTCACTTCCCCTGCCTGGGGCTCTGACTGCGGGACAGCTTCGGAGGCGGGAAGGGGGCCGTCCGTGCCGGCTCCCCTCCCATCCTGTGGCGCCTCCCCAATCCCGCAGCACTTGTTTTCTGGCAGTGGGGGGCATTCGTCTGTCCCACATGACACTGGCCCACGTCTAGGACCCACTTGGCCTCAAGAGTCCCCCGCCGGTCCTGGTGAAGCCTCTGCGTGGCATTTTCCAGGAGCTCGGGGGAACCTCCTCACCCCCTGCAAGTCCCCACGTGCCTTCGGTTGGCTCCTAAAGGTCTGTCCCGGCTTGGGGTGCCCGCTTGAATCGCACAGTATGGAAAGAGTGGAGAAGCGGGTCTTCCTCCACCAAGGGAGAGTTCAGAGCACCCGTTCCCGGTGCGCGTGCTGAGTCGTGCAAATTGTACGCACTCTCAGCATTTGAGGTTAAGCTAAAACGTGAAGACGGTTCTCTGAATTCCTCTAACATTGTTGCCATTGTTTTACTTGGATTACATGCCGTCATTGTTCGTGGGATTAGCAGTGATTATATATATATCTTTTTCTCACAAGAATTCATAAACCAAGGGAAAACAAATAGCAAATCTAGAAATTATCTTTTTTAAATCTCTTATTGCTTATTTAAACAGGTTTTGATGTCTACTCTAAGACCAGCTCTAAATGGTGCAAAGTATAGTAGAGGGCCAGTTGTTGGTTAATGAATTTGGGCTCCCCAGGCAGCTAGTCTAGATTATCCGGGGGCAAAACATTGGCTTGGTTTTTCCTAAATGACTCAGATAAATGCCAGCTCTATTCCTCACCTTGCACTGTTTGGATCTGGCCTGTTTCTTCTACTATTTTAATAATTAAACTACTGAAAACTCATTTTGCAGACTTAGCAGCCCGCTCTGAAGTTAAAATACCACATTAGGAGTCCACTTTACAAAGTTCAAGAGGCCCTGCATAATGAATCTGGAGACCTTTGTTCCGGGGCCAGCTCTGTCACTAAATAATGCAAAGTCCTTGGAAGTCACACTGTGTCTTTTCTCTAAAAAATGAAGATGTTGGATCAGATCCTTGCTCAGTCCAGGTGTGGAGCCTGTGAATGCAGACTGTGGGTCCCACCCAGACCTGCTGCATCAAATGTGCATTTTAACAAGGGCAAGAGATTTGTATTTGCGTTAACATTTGAGAAGCACGGGACAAGAGAGCTCCACCCCCATAAATTCTGATTTAATTAGGTCCAAAAAATTGGTGTTTTTAAAAATGCTTCTTAGGTGACTGATATGCAACCAAGGTTGAAAACCACAGGACTGGCTGACTCCTAAGCTCTCTTCCAGATTTGAGAGCCCACATGTCCTAGCTTATTTCCTAGTGGATAAATACTTTATTCACCATGAAATGGGTCAAAGGGATGTAAGAGTAACTTCAAAAAATCAGATTCCAACATGTACGTGTGATTTGCAGAGCAGAATTTTAGGCTGCATTTTTTTTTCCAAATGGGATTTACTACATGAATAGAGTTTATTCAAATATCCTAATTCTGTAATTTTCTGAAAATGAATGACAGTTGTTTTATGACAAACATTGTGTTGCAGGCCAAGTTTTCGCCGCACAAACTGGTTTGAGCCAGTGGGCTCTGAGTATAAACAAGTTATGCAAAGAGTAGGGGTGATTGACCTGTCACCATTTGGCAAGTTTAACATCAAAGGCCAAGATTCTATTAGACTGTTGGACCATCTCTTTGCAAATGTCATCCCAAAGGTAAATAACCTGATAATGGTACAAGGTCTAGGACTGTGGCCTGCTTAACTCTCTTATCCTCTCATTTAAAACAAACAAACAAACAAAAAACAAAAATAAAATCCCAATATGTTATTTTAGTCCACCTAATGATTTCTGTATGAACACTGATCGAGGGTATGCTAGCTAGTTTTTTAATTTAAATTTTTGCTGAATGAATCATCACCCAAGGACCTTATTACTTTGCTTAATTGTGTCGATAGGAACTACAACATTGACTGAAGTATAATTTTTATGACAAATAATTGCAATTTAAACTGAGAACTTCAAAATTAGTTTTGGGCTTATGCTTACAAATAATTCATACAATGGATATAAATGGTAAGATTCAGATGGTTTTCACTGTTGACACCTACATTTTTTCCATGTTGTTTTAAAAGGATGCCTGAGATTTATGTTTCATCCTGAGATGATTTTAAATTCTTTTGTGCAGGTGGGTTTTACAAACATAAGTCACATGTTGACACCGAAAGGTCGAGTATATGCTGAGTTGACTGTTTCTCACCAGTCTCCTGGGGAGTTTCTGTTAATAACTGGATCTGGATCAGAACTTCACGATCTTAGGTACGTGGGAACCTAGTAAGAAAATTTTATATGGGTTAAACATTGTCTAAATCTTAAACTGAGTTTTTCTTTTACCAGTAGTTGAAAGTACAACTTTAATTCTTAAGCCTTATTGTTTCGAATAAACTTCATGTTTTTATAGGAAATTACTTAAAGGGAGGGACCCTGTCCCCACCCCTTCCAAAAGGGAATCCCGCTACAGGGAGTACTGGTTCTAATAACATCAACTCCCATTTTTTAGGCATTGTCAATATGTCAGAACTCTTTTTACATGTTATCTTAATGAATTCTCTTAATAGATATATATTTGCATGGTATATACTATTCCCATTTTCAGACGAGGAAACTGAAGTTTGGGTTAAAGGAGCTTGCTGATGCCAGTCTTTCTGATTCTGGTGCCCACATGTGGTCGGCTGCCTCCCTGGGTTATCTTATCCCTTTTTCATGCCCTGTGCTGTCTGGTCCACAGATGGATCTAAATCTGTGACCTGCCAGGTTGACCCTTCACATGAATCTTTAGTCTACTATTTAGCCTGCTGTAAAATTTGTAGTCTTCAGTCTACAGATTCAGAATATTTTAGTATTCCGAAAATACTTGAAATATTACTGTTTAATAAATGTCAGATAGGAGTGAGTAGGCAGAATTGTCACAAAAGTTCAGCAGGAGAAATCTTGACTCTGACAGCTTCTCACTCTAGTTATAAACTGATGCAAATCATATCCCCTAACCCCAGATGCATTGGGAGCCGTTTTAGTAGCTCAGCTTTGTGTAAACCCAGGTGATCATTTTATGAGAGACTTGTGTAGTTCTAGGGACTGCTCGATAAATCATAAACAAACTCTATAACTGGGTTCCAATAACTCATCAAGACAGAAATTGGAACCAGTCTTTAGAGTTTTTATATTTTCCTTGTGCTTGTCAAAGCAATTCTGTGTCTGGTGGCAGGCACATTATTAACTTTTGGCAGCAGGGACGTGCCTCCTGTGTACAGGTATTAGAGAAAATTCGAGTTTAAATTAATTTTTGAAGATTGAGTCATTAGTTTAAATGCAATAGGGCTGTCACTATTTAAAATAATTGTGTGGCAGAGCTCATTTAGATTGAAGGATCCTTCTGTACTGTGAAAAATTACTCCCAATTTATATATGCAGGTGGTTTATAGAGAATCACTTCACATCTCTGGGACTCAGTTTCTTCAACTTTAAAAATTAGGTGATTATATGAAACGACACTCTGGGGACTTTCTGGTCATTCTAGACACAGAACATGTCTTCAGAGAAATAATGTTACCAACATGCATTATTCAAGCAAGATTCAGCACAGTGTTTATGACTCAAATGCAGATGGATTGAAGAAGAGGCAGCCAGAGGTGGATATGATGTTGAAATTAAAAACATAACCGATGAGCTGGGAGTCCTTGGAGTTGCGGGGCCACATGCAAGAAAGGTCCTTCAGAAACTGACCTCTGAAGATCTTAGTGATGATGCCTTCAAGTTTCTTCAAACCAAGTCCTTAAAGGTTTCCAACATTCCTGTCACTGCTATTAGGATATCCTATACTGGTAAGAATCAGAAAATAACCTGGAGTGAGTCTCTAAAGTTTAAAAGAAGCTACCAGAAATGCACTCTCTCTCTCTCCCTCCCTTCCCTCTCTCCCTCTCTCCTCAGTATAATTTTGGAGGAAGATTTCTCCTGCCCAAATTTCATGACAATTCTGTCTCTGCACTTCTCTTCTGAGAGAGTCATTCCACAGGTTCCCAGTTGTCCTAGAGCTGCCTACCATTTGTAAGAGTAGATAAGAGAATGGGAAGACGACAGCTGCTGAAATAGTTGGGAGGGTAGACAGAATATTTAGGCTAGTTCCCTCTATCTGGTAACATTCAAGATCACCTCCAGTAAATCGCCTCCCACAGAGACCGTCTTGAGTGGGTCTGGCACCTCTCTTGCAGTATTGCTGTTCTCCTTTTCTTTCTAGACTCAATGTGCATTAGGAAATCTTCATATAGCACCTAACNCCTCCCACAGAGACCGTCTTGAGTGGGTCTGGCACCTCTCTTGCAGCATTGCTGTTCTCCTTCTTTCTTTCTAGACTCAATGTGCATTAGGAAATCTTCATATAGCACCTAACCTTGCACACAGTAGGTATTCAAAACAGAGTTGAATGAATTTTCGTTCTTCAGCTCCCATTGGTGCTCTGGGCTCACTTCCAACTCCCTCTGGGCCTCCTTGCCCTTTCACGGAGGAGTCCCTGGTGCCAGGCATTTGTTCAGTTATGTGTCGCTCGCCTGGTGGTGTCCTGGAAAACACGTCACCGCTAGCCCTCGACATTGGGAACAAGGAGAACACACAGCACAGAGGCCATGGCCCTTCCCTGGCATCCGTGCACCTTTTCCCCACCCTCTTCTACCTACCCTTGGCAACATGGTCACCAGAATGAAGCAGAAGCAGAATAAAAAATAAGTAGGCTGGGTTGGGTTTCATTTCCTTTGGTTTTTGCCTGCAGCTCTAATGGTGAAAGACATGCCCAAGTGGGGAAGAAAGGGCGGGTTAGGGGGGTTAGAGGCCATGACTATCCCACAGTGAAGACTATTTTAGTGAATGTCAGGTGCTTATTGTTTTAAGCCTTGTGATTTGGGGGCAAGGAGCTAGGAGTGGAGGTGCCTAAACCTTGAACCCCTTATCTGGATGAACTGTGCCATGGTGATCACTCAACATTAGGCAGCCGGGGTCAAGGGTCAAGGTGAACTCCTGCTGCACCGCAGCCTTTCTAGGCCATGTGAGGATTGTCCTAGAGAGCGCCCTCTGCGCGAGAGGCGGGACTGGGCACGCACGCACCTGCGACATGGCAGCCTCCTGGGCAGTGGGCTTTTGTTGGAACTTTTTTTTTATGAACTGGTCTTTTAAAACTCAGCAACGTCTGTGTTGCATAAATGGAATCTCTCTCCTTATTTATGTGTTTCAGCTAAAGCACGTTAGACCTTGTGACCGTTGTTCTTACTCTGATGTGGCACTTGTGGGGTCATTTCAGGTGAGCTGGGCTGGGAGCTGTACCACAGACGAGAAGATTCTGCCGCACTCTACGAGGCCATCATGGGTGCAGGCCAGGAGGAGGGGATCGACAACTTCGGAACATACGCCATGAATGTCTTAAGGCTGGAGAAAGCGTTCAGAGCCTGGGGGTCGGAGGTTTGAAATGCTAGCGTCTTCATAAAAATGTTGTTTATTGTATCTGATTTTTATATAAGGGCTAGTTTCATTCGTTTTGGGGTTTTTTTCATTATTTTTATAAGGGCTAGTTTTAACTGCTTTAACATTGGCTCTGATTGTAGGAGAAATTATGTGTTATTCGATAACTTTATTTAATTAGGGGAAGAGGTTTTTCTTTTCAATTTCCCAGTTGAAAGTTCAGTGGAATTATGACATAATGTTTATTCTGCCTAATTCCTCCTGTTGGCAGAGAGCCCTGGACAGCCGTCCCTGACTGTGTGGAGCTGTGGCTGCTCCGAGGGGCCTGCCTTCCCCACACGACTGGGGACCGCCTTTCAGATCCCCCCTCCCCCGTCATGACGCCCATTCTCATTTCCTTCTTGTCACGTTCCTCTTGGGGAAATGACACCAATAGTCTCTTTCTGGGAGCAGAGCTGATGTTCTAGGATGTGTTGTCTAGCCTACTTCTACCACTGATAATAGGAGGTAAAAATTTCTATTTGTACAGTGTCACACCGTTTTCATATGCGTGGTTTCACATACCTTCTCAGCTCTCCTGACTACTGGCGATTCTTGGACAAGGGGTCGGGAGCCGGGGTATCTAAGTTACCCCCATTCTGCACACTGAGAAACAGTAAACAGCTTGGCCCGGGTTACACGAAGAGGCCAAACTAAGGCTCAGACCCTGTTCTTCTGTTTTATCTCCCATATAGCAGGCTCTCTCTGGACCCCTGAATTTTTTCAGACCCCTAGTTGTTTCCTTAGAGGACAGTGGGGTTTTAGGCTTGAGAGGTGAGGTGAGGAAGAGTGGTAAAGGATGCCCTTTAGAGCGGGGTCTCTGGGGTTTGAATTTACACTCCACCGCATATGTGGCCTTGACTCTCCAGCCTCTGCTCGCTTTCCTATGAAATACAGATCATTTTTCTCCTTCAGAATTATAGCTAATAGTCTATAAAGTGCCGAGCACACAATAGGATGAATTTAGCTGGAGAGCAAAGTGGGTTTGAGGTGGGGAGGGCAGCCTCCTGGAGCCACCTGAGAAGGGCCCTGGGGACTATCTGCAGGAGAGGTGCTCCGTTACGGGATTGCCAGCCTGCAACCAGGGCCCTAGACGAGGCTGCGGCGCGGGCAGAAACAGGGCGGCTCTGTGCCCGCCCGCTGCCCAGAGCTGCAGAAGCAGCCTTGGGAGGCGGCATTGCTCCACCCTCCTGCCTTTCCGTCTCCCGCCCCTCCCTGGATGTCCCGGCAGTGCCAGCGCGCCCTCTAGTGGTGTCACAGCCGTCCGTCCGCCGGGCTGTGTTTTAATCCCCTCCCCCCCCAGAGAAATTCTAAAACTTGGAGCAGGTAAAAAATACTTTTAGAGTTGCTCAAATCAATTAGAAAATATAAGATCACGTTTTATATCACGTGAAACAAGTCTATATTACTCCTCTGGTTTATGCTACTGGCCTGTTGTCGTTTTTAAAAAGTTTGGCTACTTTTTATGAGGTTTAGAGAAGTTCTCTGGGAGCGAAAGTGACCCAAATAAGACAACAAGACAAACAAACAAGATCCATCACCTCCAGATTCAGTCCCAAGTAGTGGCTTCAGCTCATGAAGCATACGGTGATGACTCAGCTGTGTTTGAAGAGACTGAGGCCCATCTCCGCCCAGCCTGCAGGCTCAGCCCCGTGGTCAGCCCTGGTGGCGCTCCTAGCAAGCATAAGGGACTCATCTTATTACTGGTGGCATTTAAATATGAAATTTAAAAACTGTAACTGCGGTTTGGATTCATGGATCGTCAAAGAAAGGAGAGAACATAGGACCTACACGGGGCAGGTTTGGGCAGATGTGAAGACTTGGACTGCGGAGTTGTGTAGGACTTTCTGTTGTGGGAAACTTCCAGAAAACAGCCTTTCTTACTGTGTATGTACGTGGAGCTGTGCTCGCCTTCCCTCTGGGCTCCTTGCACATGTTTGCTCAGACCACCCTTTCCTACCAACGCAGCGCAGGATTCATGGCAAACAAGCCCTTGGGCCAGATACCGGGGGAGTAAGTGCACACAGCGAGCCAACTGTTCATCGCCTTTGTGGTGGCGGCTTTGGCTCAGATGTGGCACTGACTGCCCTGGAACCCGAGGACAAAGGTCATGTGCTTCCTGGGCTCACGGCTACAGCAGAAGGGCCTATGTCATTCTCCATCTTTGGTTTTTTTCCTGACTTATATTCATGATTTTCAGAAAATTTCTTTAAGGCTAGAAGCCAATTTACAGGGATTAACTAACCCTCTATGACACAGCTCCCTGTCCTATTAACAGTGAGCGAACCCACCTGCTGTCGGGGTGCATGAGGAAATGATAAAATATCTCTGCAACGATTATGATTCCCAGGGCTTAGGGAACATTCGTAAATTACTCCTTCTGCTCTGGAATTTTCAACCAATTAATCAAGGCTGACAGTGTCGTTGATGGGTCCCGATAATCAAGAGACAGGAATGAAGCCATTTTAGAAATTATCCTAAAGGATATCTTCAAGAGGATCATGTGAAAACATTTATGCCTAGTTTGAATCCCAGAAAAGGAAACCTAAGGAGAAAGAAAGAGAGAGAGAGAGAGAGAGAGAGAGAGAGAGAGAGA